AAACAAACAAAAACAAACAACAAAAAAACGGATTACAGTAACATTTGTTTTTTTAAATCTTCAATACTGGCTGGGTGTGGTGGCTCATGCCTGTAACCCTAGCACTCTAGGAGGCTGAGGAGGGTGACTTGCCTAAGCTCAGGAGTTTAGAGACCAGGCTGAGGAAGAGAGAGACCCCAGCTCCACTCAAAATAGAAAAACTAGCCAGGGGTTGTGGTGGACGCCTATAGTCCCAGCTACTTGGGAGGTTGAGGCAAGAAGATTGCTCAAGCCCAAGAGTTTGAGATTGCCATGAGCTGTGACTCCACAGAACTCTACCCAGGGAAACAGAGTGATACTGTGTCCCCCCCCCCAAACAAACAAACAATCAAATAAAAAACCTTCAATATTTAACTTTGGAATCACTGACAAACGTTCCTAACCAAGGGTCACACAAGGTAATGGTAACCTGGTAACCTTGAGGTTCCATCTCAAATCTCCTACTTCTTTAGCTGCATCATATTATGCAGATTTCAAAATAAATGTGCACATTCAGCAAGGTGAATGCAAGCCTGAAGAAGATAAAACCAGTCTACCCCTGTCAAAACAAATAATAGACATACACTATATTTTTAATTTTTATACCTAAAAGTAAACTCTTCTAATTCCAGAGATGACCAGAAGCTTTAAAATTGACCCAACCTTTCCCTTATAGGCTCCTTGCCTCAGAACAAAAATAGTAGTTAATATTTACTGACAGCTTATTATGCTTATAGCAAGCACAATAGTAAGAACTATATATGCATTATTGTCGATTAATTGCTCAACATTGCGGAACAGGTACTATTATTTTCATTTCACTGAGAGATTAAAAACACAGGTAATGTAAGTCACTCTTTTAAAATGTCAGAGCCTACTCTCTAGAGCAGTAGTTCTCAACTTCCTAATGCTACAACCCTTCAATAGTTCCTCATGTTGCGCTGTAGCAATGAAAATAATTTTATGGTTGGGGTTTCCACATGAGGAACTATATTAAAGGGTGGCAGCATTAGGAAGGTTGAGAACCACTGCTCTAGAGAGAAGAAGAATTAATAAGGCAGAGGCTTGCCAGTTGCCTAATTAGACAAACCTGGCACCCTTTGTTCCTTTCAAGAGGAGGCAGGGCATTATTGTGGACAGAGTCCTAGACTAGGAACACAGGAACCAGGATTTAGCTTCAGGTCTGATATTATGGAATGTGTGACCCTGGGCAAGCCAAATAACTACTAAGTCTTGGTTTCCTTATCTGTAAAGTGAGGTTTTGGTTTATAAAATCTCTTAAGTTCCTCCCCAGCACTCAATTCCAAAATTCCCTAGTATTTTAAAAATCTAGTACTGGTGTTGAAATAGGCTTGCCTAGAAAGAAACACTTGTTTTTCTACCAGCCACATTACTCTTGAACGACATTTGTTTTCAGATTCAAGACACTGTTCATTAGTGACTTACAGCTACTGAAATTATTCTTCAAAATCTGAAGTTTTTTTTTGGGGGGGGGGGACAGTCTCACTATGTCGCCCTAAGTACAGTGCCGTGCTCACAGCAACCTCAAACTCTTGGGCTTAAATGATTCTCTTGCCTCAGCCTCCCAAGTAGTTGAGACTACAGGTACTTGTCACAAATGCTTGGGTATTTTTTGTTGCAGTTGTCATTGCTGTTTAGCTGGCCCAGGCCAGTTTTGAACTCATCAGCCTCCGTGTATGTGGCTAGCGCTGTAACTATTGTGCTACGGGCACCAAGACTGAACTTGTTAAATGAATTTGGGTGGCGCCTGTGGCTCAGTCGGTGGGGCGCTAGCTCCACGGACTGAGGGTGGCGGGTTCAAACCCAGCTCCAGCCAAACTGCAACAAGAAAAAATGGCTGGGCATTGTGGTGGGCGCCTGTGGTCCCAGCTACTTGGGAGGTTGAGAGCTGGAGGTTGCTGTGAGCTGCCACAGCACTGTACTGAGGGAGATACAGTGAGGCTCTGTCTCTACAAAAAAAAAAAAGAATTTATTTTCATAATCTGGGTCCCACCCACCCTGACTCTGGCCACTGGCCAGGCCCAGTGGCTCATGCCTATAGTTCTTGCATTTTGGGAGGTGGAGGTAAAGGAATCACTTGAGACCAGGGCAACACCACCAGACCCTGTTTCTAGCTACCTGGGAGACAGAAAGATCATCACTTAAGCCTAAGAGTGTGAGGCCACAGTGAGCGATAATCGTGCCACTGTACTCTTGTCTGGGCAAAAGAGCAAGATCTTATCTCCAAAACAAAGCAAAGAAATAAATAAATGTTTTTATCTTAAGAGCTATACAGTACCAAATGTAAAGAACTGCTTAACAGTTTATAAAGTTTGCAAAATTATTCTTTAAGGCCTGTCCAAATCTAAGAAAATACACGTACTCAAATAACTAAATAAGCTCCAAGTTAGTTCCTAAAGTTAAAAAAAACAAACTGAAAAAGGAGCATCATCATTAATGTATTTGCAGTCTACTTTATTTCCTGTAAATAGATTTTATTTGGTCAAGTGCTCAATGTGGTCAAATTTAAATGCTTACCTGAAAGAAATTTCATCAGCCACTTTCTCTTGAGAGTCTTCCTCTGTGATCTCATATCGGCCTTTATAGTTCATTTCTAGTCTGTCCCCCAGTCTGTCTTTGACAGGTCGTTTTCTTTTGAGATGACCTTGCCCGTTTTCCTCTTCCTTTGATCCTGTTTTTTTGCCATCATGCATGTATGTGTCTAGTTCCTTGTCTAATTCTTTTGGATGCTCTTCAGATTCCCTCTTCAGTTTCTTAGCAAGCAAATAATTGTAAGTCTCAGATTGTCTGCTTCTGTCGATAGTGCCCTCCATTCCCAAGATACCAAGTTCTGTGGCCACTGCATCTTGATTCTGTTCCTGCAGCACAGCACCCCATATGTTGTTAACCTTCTTTCCTCCAGCAACAGGGGCTTTCTGACTGCTCTGGCCAAACTGAAAAGGCTCAGGTTTGGGAGGAAGGTTAAAACATTTCTGTCGCTTGCGTTTCCAAAGAGAGCTATCATCATCTGAATCAGAAAAACTCTCTTCACTGGAATCCACACTTTTAACAGTCCGATAATGGGACACTGGTACATAGGCTGCTGTGGTACTCT